TTTTAAAAAAATTTTACACACTGCAGTCATCAAAACCACCGTACTGACAGGGTCCAGTTGTGGCACTGAGGAGAAACTCATCCTTTCTACATTATTTAGGCACCCTGACAATTTCTTCTTTCACTCCTTAGCTTTTAGTCGACAAATACTCCTTTACGAAAGTGCCGTTTTTATGCGTTTTTGCATTTGCATATATACAAAAGCGCACATTGGCAATACGCTGTTTGAGTATGTGTCTATATGTTCGCACTTCTTTTTTCATCCACTTTCAACTGGAGAACTAGAAAAGCTAAAAGGCTGGAGCATCAGAAGTATGTACTTGTGCTATGTGCGATCCTCCCGACCTTACCAAGGGAGTGTTAAAGCCACTCCCAACAAATCATACGAACTAAAAATCCCCGGCACCAAACCGGATTTCACATGCCGGAACCGTGCTTTGCTTGCCGTTTGCTCAAAACCGAGTTTATTATCGACTGCTTGTTTGAAAAACCTCTGCGTACTTAGTGTTAGGTCCGACGTACCTCAGACTCTGCCTGATCTGATATTTGGAAGCATCTCAGATCTCAAAATTTCCTACCCGGATCAGCGTTCCGGAAAAGAATCAGATGAATATGGATGGTGCAACATGGGCAACAAATGAGTACATTTTAATCTTCTTCCTCACTAAACGTTTCAGAAAAATTCGATATATGAGAAAAAGTGTAAGCGGTGAGAAATGCACAAAAGCGTGAGCTGCTGTCACTGAGATCAATGCTGAAAGACGACCAAAACCATCGGATTCAAGAGAATCCAGCGCCGCGAGAACTGCTTCTTGCGATTCACAGGCATAACCTAAAATGAAGATGATTATTAACACTGTCTGTAATAAAAGTAGTGATTTAAGAAAACCAATTTTTAATTTCCAAAAAAAATGCTAAATTCCGCGAAAAGGGAATCATCGTTCCAAAAAAGAAAAAAAATTATTCTAACCCCTGAAAACCACATTTAAACTAAGCCATACCACAAGTTAAAAATTTTCGAATTCCGAACAATTTAAATACAATAAACCAATTTAAGGCTTACGAACAGCACAAAACATCCTGGAACGAAAAGAGGAGAGAACTAGCAAGAAAAAGAGAGATGCGGATGGGAAAGCAAAACAATTCGCACTTATTGGACTTGGGAAGAGCGATTGTGTGCGTGTGTATTACATCATTGAAAACATTGCCTTTTCAAACATCATCCACATTTTGTATTTTATAAAAAGCAAATGCAAAAAAAAGAAAAAAAGAAAATAGAGGAAAATAAAAAGGAACAGTGATGAAAAGTGGCTCACCTTCACATACAATTCAATAAGCTGAAATTACCTGCACTGAACAATAGCAACATTGCTGATGCAAAAATGTAGTAATTTATTTCAAGTTACAAACATCAAAAAGAAAAAAGAGGAAAATTCAAAACATGTTATTTGTAACTGTGCTACCGCAAAATATAACATAAACAATTATCATCATCGTTACAAGAGTGGTGACAGTAGCAGTAGTAGTAGCAGTAATGAATCAAAATGGTTGCTTTGTAAGTGTGACACGCGTTCATTGCCATAATAATAGGACTTTCCATTACCAAAGCCAACGTCATTCCATAACACCAATACGTAGTAGACGAC